CGCACATCAGAGCGACGTGGCCTGCGTGTCTCTGAACCAGCCAGGCACGGTAGTGGCCTCGGCCTCTCAGAAGGGCACCCTTATTCGCCTTTTTGACACGCAGTCCAAGGAGAAGCTGGTGGAGCTGCGCCGAGGCACTGACCCCGCCACCCTCTACTGGTGAGCACAGGGTATGCCTGGTGGGCTCCTGACCTCACACCACATGACGTGGGCGTCACCGCTGGTCTGTCTTTCAGCATCAACTTCAGCCATGATTCTTCCTTCCTGTGTGCATCCAGTGATAAGGGCACAGTCCACATCTTTGCTCTCAAGGACACCCGCCTCAACCGCCGCTCTGCGTGAGTGCCTCCTGCCCCACCCTGCCTCACCCCCATCCCCCTGCCCATATATCACACCTGGGCTTAGCCAGTGTTGCCTGCAGGCTGGCTCGCGTGGGCAAGGTGGGGCCTATGATTGGGCAGTATGTGGACTCTCAGTGGAGCCTGGCGAGCTTCACCGTGCCTGCTGAGTCAGCCTGCATCTGTGCTTTTGGTCGCAACACTTCCAAGAATGTCAACTCTGTCATTGGTGAGTGGGAATAGCCCTTGACTGGGGGGTACTGCATGGGCGAAGGCCTACAAATTGGACCTGAAAGAATTTTAGGACATGGGAGGCCTGAGGGAGCCAAACGGGTGGTTCACTTCCACCATCACTAAGGGAGATGGCACGTGGCAAAGACCTGGAGATAGACCCTGAGCCACGGGACACCTGAGAGGACTGGAGTGTGTGGCTTTGGCAGCATCTAACCTTTTCCAATCCTCCCCCCTCCTCCAGCCATCTGTGTAGATGGGACCTTCCACAAATATGTCTTCACTCCCGATGGAAACTGCAACAGAGAGGCTTTCGATGTGTACCTTGACATCTGTGATGACGATGACTTTTAAGGACCCTGTGGGTTGTGCTAGGGACCTGCAGTGGCAGACTGCAAAGCCTGTGCGGGGGTGGGAGTGCTGTGGAAGCCACCAGCCAGCAAACATTAATGGAGCAGGTGCCCACTTTCCACTCTTAAGAGCAATGCCTAAACAGCTCAGTCGCCCCAAGCACTTCTTGATGACTGTGTGCCCGCAGAGCCAGGCCAGGGACTCAGAGAGACAGCGGCCCCCCTGGGGCTCCCAGCCTGGAGAAGACTGCTAGGGACCCAGAGTGGGTGCCCTAATCCAACCTGTGGGGATTTTTAAAAGACTTCCCAGAAAGAGACGATCTCTGATATGATGAATATGAATAAAAGGCCCTTAATAGTATTTATGGCTGGACCTCGGGAGTGGGGCCTGGAGGAGATGAGGCTGAAAAAGCCCTGCAGGAGTTTCCTGGAAAGGTGTGAACCTCTTGGACCCTGACAGGAAGGAAGTGGGATCCTGCTCGGGTCCTTCTGACAGCCTCTGCATGTCCTCTAATGTCTGGCCACTGTGTGCCAGAGACGCCAGCACTGCCCAGAACCGTCCCTGTGGCGCCCCCGCCTGGGGGTGGACGGGAATGCCTCGCCCCGCGGCGGAGACTTAATTTCCCAGCGGCCCCTGCTACCTTACAGTTCCGGCGTGTTGTTGGTATTTTCGGTCACGTGTGCTGCTGCGCCTGCTCAGTCCACTAGGTCGTCAGGGTAGTGGTTGCAGGGCCCAGACTCCGTTTCCCGGTGTGCCCCACGGTGGCGCGGTGTAGAACGGGTGTTGTAGTCCGGCCGCTCCTCTGACTGGTCCAGCTACATCGACCGGCAGGATGTCGGAGGTGCGGCTGCCACCGCTACGCGCCCTGGACGACTTCGTTCTGGGGTCGGCGCGTCTGGCGGCCCCGGATCCACGCGACCCGCAGCGATGGTGCCACCGCGTCATCAACAACCTTCTCTACTATCAAACCAACTACCTTATCTGCTTCGGCCTCGGTCTCGCTCTGGCCGGGTGAGGGAGGGAGGGAGGGAGGGAGGCGCAGGTTGGCCGGGGGCGCCCGCTGGGCATGGAGGGTGGACCCGCAGGATTTTGAGGGGGCTGCAAGACCTTGAAGGGCGAATTCAGTAGAGTGTGAAACTGAAGGGGAAACTGGGAGACAGAAGGCCTGGAAGAGGAATCTGAAAGGATTGGCCTTTGCAAAGGGTGGGTTTAGGGGCAGGTTGGGATGGGGGGGGCCGGCTGGAGTGGGTCCTGCGGGGGTAGGGGGAAGTGTGGACCTGAAAATAAGGAGGGCCCGAAAGTGGGACACGACTGTGCCTGAGGGTTGATGGGGCCAGATTAATGTGGCCTTGGAGGACTTACGACAGGGACAGGACGTGGTCAAGTTGAAGGGTGGACTTGTGGAGGATCTGGGCTTGGAGAGGGGCCTGGCTATAATTGGAATGCTCCAGGAGCAGGTACCTGTTGGGGAACTTGAGTCTAGAGGGAGGACCTGGGGATGGAAGGCCTGAGACCAGGGAGGGATGGAGAACCTGGAAGAGGGACTTGGGCAGGACTGGAAGTTAAGTGGCACTGAAAGCCTGGAAGGGGTTCTAGTAATGATGGAGGGAGGAATCTATAGGAAATGGGAATCTGGAGAGGGAATTTGAAGGGAAGTCTGGAAGGGACTCTGGGCCTGGGGAGAGGGAAATGTATGGAAACAGAAGGACTGGAAGAGGAATTTGCAAGGGCCGGGCCTTTGCAAAGAGTGGGTTTTGGGGCACGTTGGGATGGGGGGGCCGGCTGGAGTGGGTCCTGCAGGGGTAAGGTCGGAAGGAAAGAGAAGGGAAAGGCTGTGAGCTCTGGGGCCTAGCGGAATGGGAGGGCCTGAAGCAGGAGATCTCAGGAAGATGGGACTGTAGGATTGACAAGAAATAAATGAGGGTCCACAGGGGAGCCCAGGGCTCCTGGGAGTTGGAATCCCTGAAGGGTGGACCTGTTGGAGACAGGACTGACGGGAGTATTTGCCGGGCTGGAGGGTCCGGAGCGGGGGCGGGGGGTGGGGGTGGGGGTGGGAACCAAAGCTCTTGGGGCACGGACTCTGGTGGACGGTGGTCTGGGAGGCACGGGGGCCAGGCGGCCCTCTCCCCGCCTGCCCGGCTAGCTTAGTTCCATTGTCGCCGCAGGTACGTGCGCCCGCTGCACACCCTCCTAAGCACGCTGGTAGTGGCGGTGGCCCTTGGCATGCTGGTGTGGGCGGCTGAGACTCGAGCAGCCGTGCGCCGCTGCCGTCGCAGCCACCCAGCCGCCTGCCTGGCCGCAGTGCTTGCCGTCGGCCTCCTCGTTCTCTGGGCCGCGGGCGGCGCTTGCACCTTCCTGCTCAGCATCGCCGGGCCCGTGCTTCGTGAGTCTCCACTACCCTGAGATGGCCGGGAAGACGGCCACCGCTCGCAAACGGCGCCAGGCCCGCCCTACCCTGGTTCCTGGGCTGAGAGGGGGCTGGGACACCCGGCGGGCAAGGCCACACCTCCTTTACAAAGCGCCTTCCCTGGCTTTGCTCCCCTCCCTGGGAACGCCCCTCTTACAACCGCCCTTCTGGGCGTCACTGCTAGTATGAAGTGCCTTCCACCGGCCACGTCCCCATTACTGGGCACCCTCCCTGGCCACGCCCCTGTTGCGAAGCTCATTACTCCGCCACACTAGCAGGGTTCAGAGGCGTCCTGGCTACCGACCACGCCATTGGTCTGCCTGTGCTCCAGTTCCCTTCTCTGGGCCCCCATTAGCTAAAGGCTGATGTCCCATCCCACTGACCCCGCTCCTCTCGGTATTGCCCACAGTGATCCTGGTGCACGCGTCACTGCGCCTGCGCAACCTCAAGAACAAGATTGAGAACCAGATCGAGAGCATTGGTCTCAAGCGGACGCCAATGGGGTTGCTGCTGGAGGCGCTGGGACAAGAACAGGAGGCTGGATCCTAGAGCCCTGGGATCTGTACCTAAGACATGGAGAATGCCATCCCCACCCTGGCCCAGACCCAGAGCCCTTTCCCAGTCCTCAAAATAGGAGCCCCTGCCCAGTTCAAAAAACAGGACAACTGCAACCCTTCCCCCAGGTCCCAAACTGGGATATTCCCTCATACCCAGCCCCCCAGTTTAGGAAACCAGAGTCTTCCCAGCCCTGAACTTGGGAACCAGAGACACCCACGTCCAGCCCAAAACTGGGGCTTGGAGACCAGAGCATCCATGGCCAACCTCAAACTCTGGGCCCAGAGACACTCCCCCTCAACCCCAATCTGGGACCCACCTATCTCCCACGCTCAGCCCCAAAGCTGGGGACTGGGACCAAGGCATTCTCAGATCTTGAACCCTGGACCAAGGCTTTTCCAGACCCCACCCCAGCTTTGAACCCAGGATCCAAGTGTTCTCAGCCCCCATCTGGGTGGAGGATTCAGGTATCCTGACCCAGTTGAACCCTTGGTCCCAGGTGACCCCAACACTCACCAGTCCCACTTGCCTCCCTCCAGCTCTGCTTAGGGATCCTGCCACTCCCCAGCCCACCCCCCACAAAGTTCCACAGTGACAAGGACCAAGGGGTGGGGTGGGGTGGGGTGCGGTGGGGGTAGCCCTGACCAGGAATGGGGCATATATATCAGTGTTGCTACAACAATAAAGGCTGTTGCATTGCTCAAGCCCATTTGGGCCTCCTGGGTAAAGTCTGTGTGTTTCAATGGCCAGAAGTGACCTGCTTTTCAATTCTACCAGAGACTTTCTGATTGGGTCCCTGTCAAATATGTGGGCTGAAGGAGGAGCTCTCAGTTCCTTCCTTGAACCTATTACCTCTAGGGTGGCATTAACACACAAGGGAGTTAAGGGCACGGAGTGTTTGCTGCCAGCATTTGTATTACTCAGGGCTCTTGGCTAGGAATCTGAGCACGGACAGGCAAAGAAGTTGCCCCACATCACAAAGCAAGTAAAACCAAAGCAGATGACATTATCACAGGCTGTTTCCATGATGCTGTATATTTTTTTCTTGTAAAAATACATTACCTAGTCTTAGGTAAAGATGTGGGCCCCCAAGGCAAGGCAGACAGGGAAGCAATGCATGGGTTCAGTTTACACATTTATTATAGAAATCCCCTTCCAGTGTGGGTAGTGTCTTGGGCCCAGATCCATTAGTACAAAAAGAAAAGTTTAACACTAGGTAAAGGGGGTAGGGGAACCCCCAGCTCCAGAAAGCCACAGACAGGTATCATAGAAAACACAGCTCGTGTGGATTTGTTTAAAAAGTGGTGGATGGAAGGAAAGCCAAGGAAGGTGTGACATAACCCGTGGCGAGACGTCACTTGAGGATTTCATTGGCATCTACCAGACGCCAGGTTCCACCACCGCCACATCCCAGGACACAACCCACCCAATGGTTCTGCCCTTTGGTCCTCCTGCGGGGCCTCCTGATTGGGGATAGTCGGGGCAGAGGAGGCTGCCGCCAAAGGCTGGGTCGTCTCACTCTGTGGGCAGAGGCAGCGGGCACAGACAGGCAGACAGGGACTGGGGCGCCTTCAGGCACCCTGGGGGAGAGAAAATGAACACAAGCCCCCCACCCAGACTTCAGTCCTTCCAAATGTGGGCAGAGACTTCATTCCTTCCCAATGTGGGCACCTCCCCAAGAAAAACTGCCCCAGTGGGGAGTGGCAGGGAGTTCTGTTCACACCGGAACCTCCTGGCTGCCCCAAAGTGGGCCCTGAGACCCTATATGGTTCGTTTTGTGGAGGGGGCTCCTGAATGGAACAGGCTGGTCATGGGGACAGGAATGAACCCAACCAGGACGAGATCACAGTTTCCTTTTTTATAAAACGTCTAGTGTTGAGGGAAGACAATGAATACCTAGATCACAACTGTAAACAGAAATGGAGGAAGGGGCTTGGAGTTCCCATTACATCATCCCCTCTCCTCTCTTTTAAGCTGGCGGAGGGCCCCCAGTCCCCAGCACAGCGTGAGAGGAGACACAGGGTGTCAGACACCTTCGTGGGCCCACGGGGAGCCAGGGGCCTTGGAAGATCACATTGGTGCCCCCCAGGACCGAGAGCAGCCACACCCCAGGGCTCAGCGAGGTCAGCTGTGTGCTCCCCAGACTGAAGTCATACCCAGGCCAACAAGGGGCATATGAGAAGGGGTCAGACCAGTGTCCCCGGGGTCTGGGGGTCAGAACCGGAGGACTGCTCCCCCTCTAGCGTCAGGTCACTTAAACGAGCGCTCAGCTCCGGGGGGTACAGGAAGTCCGCGTAGTATCTTTAGAAGGGGTAGCAGGAATCCGGAGGACAGGGTGGGAAGACAGAGGAGAGAGGAAAAGACGGACAAGACACAGAAAGAGAGAGGAAAAGAGGCTCGTTAAAGAGGTGGAGGCAGGCACAGGACAGCACCTTTAGGCTCGCAAGCGTGGGGCGTGGTGAAAAGAGGAAGAAAAAGGCAAGGGGCACAGGACGTCCCTTCCTCCCAGCACCCTAGTTTCAAGGCTCATTTTCAGCTGACATGCACTGGTTGTTCAAATATTAAAATTCTTGTATTAGCTTGGTGAAGAACTGCTGCTACCAGGACCCAAGATACCCCTCCACCGAGACCCCACGGACTAATGCGAGTCAGGCAGGGCCCAGTGACCCCGGGCCAAGGCTGCAGCTACTTCTCTCGTGGTCCATGTCATTAGCTACCATGACTAGCTGGCTCCCTGGCCTGGACACCTTTGCCATCTGCCTCAAGAGACCCCTACCCATCAGTAAAAGCACCCCCCATACCTGCCGGAGACAGGGGGCGCCGTGAAACTCCTTGAGTGCGGGAGTGGCGCCTGGCTGGGGGCCCCATACAGCGCCTGGCCCACCTCATAGCAGCGGGCATGGAGGAAGGGCGGGTGCTGCGGGCCCATGTGGGGGAGCCCAGGCCGGCGCTGGGGCCCTGTGGCCAGTCCCGAGTTCCGGATGTACCAGTCCCGCAGCCCCTCCAGGGCAAGGTTCTTGTGGCCGCTGCGCTCACCAGCTGGGGGGATACGGGCGGGTGGGGGCATCCACAGCAGAGGGTTGGGATGCACCTCTGGGCCCTCAGCGGCCTCCAGGGGCAGGCCACAGGGCTTGGTGCGGGTGGCACGGCTGTGGGGGTCCTTGCTGCGGAGGAGGGGGCTGCTGCCGTCAGCTGCATACACAGGTGGTGGGCCTGGGAGCATGGTGAGGAGCCCATCCCGGCGAGAGAGGGGTCCTGGGACCTCAGCTGTGGGCAGCAGCTCCCCCCAGCCTGTCCCGCCGCCACCGCGGGGCAGGCCCCGGTCCAGGGAGTAGTCCAAGAGGAAGTCCCCACACATAGGCGGGAGCCGGGGGACCCCGCGGGAGGCAGGGGCGGCTGAGCTGGGCCGGGCAGCCCGGGGAGGGTCTGGGGGGCCAGCCGTGCGGGAGGAGAAGGCAGGAGTTGGTTGGGGGCGCTCATATAGCACCTCACTGCTCTTGCAGGCTGGGGTACCAGTGGCAGGGGGAACCAGAGGTGCAGGCGGGGAGCCAGCTCCCCCACTAGCTGCCCGGTCCACCAGCAGGGCCTCGGAGCTATTGCTGCGGCGGGTGCGAGCTGCGAAGAGGGAGGCACGGTCGGAGACAGGGTCCGCCCGGGGGAAGCCCATCTGGGAGTCCTGGCTGCCGGACCACTGGCGAGAATGGAGGCCTTCAGGTCTGGGGGCGCAGAGGTGGGGGTGATGGGAGAAGGGTCAGAAATATCAGGGAGATGGGATGAGTGCCCTCCCTATCCTGCCTCTCTCTGAGCCTTCACTTCCACACCTCCAAAATGGGCCCAGGATTAGAAGCTGTGTGTATAAAGGTGAAAGGTAGTGGCCTGTAAAGAGCAGCAGAGGTTCTGCCACAGACTGGGGAGCCGAGGGGTTAAAAATGTACAGGGGTGCCTGGGACTGTTAGCTCCGAGGGAGATGTAAGTGTGTGTAGGGCTCAAGAGGAAATGCTAGCAGGGGAGGGCGGAGGGCTCTTCCTAACACATCTGACCCCTCATTCCCTGCTAAGGTGCTTCTCAGGGCTCCCCGCCTCCTCTAACATGAGGGCCTAAACCTTAGGCCAGGAATTCAAGACCCTTCCTGAATCCTCTGTCCCATCATGTGTATGAACCACCCAAAACTATCATCCCAACAGCCACTATTCATAGAATGCAAGTGTCACAAGAATGGGGACTTTGTTTTGTTCACAGCCCGGAAAAAGTAGGCACTTAGTAAGTACATATTTGTTTAAGAAGTAGTAGAGTACCATGGTTAAAAGCATGGACTCTTCAGTCAAACTTGCCTGGGTTCAAATACCAGGTCTTCAGTTTACTAGCAAGTTACTTAACCTCTCTGTGTCTCAGTTTCCTCATCTCTAAAATGGGAATAATAATAGCACCTACCTCACAGGGATGTTGTGACAATTAAATGAGTTTGATACCAAGTAAAGCACTGATTCCTAGCAGATGGTAGGTATGCGGTACATGTTAACCAGAACTCATTTATGCCTACAGTATCTTCCACAGGCAGATATTATTATCCCCATTTCACAAATGAGGAGACAAAGATTCAGAGAAGGGAAATGACTTGCCCAAAATGCACAGAAAAGCTCATTCTCAAACTTTGGTGCTTCTGCCCCAGATCCCCACCCCCTTCTCCACCAAGACAACTCCTATTCACCTTTCAAAACCCAGCCTTTCTTTTCTTCTCTCTTTTTTTTTTTTTGGTCAATTAAAAAATTTTTATTTATAATGTGATATTACACATATACACATATGACATATTCCAAAAGATATTTTACCTATATTTCTTTATCATGCAATAGGGTGCATTATGAAAAAAAGTTCTGAAACAAAAATAAAATTCTTGCATTTTCATACAACCTACATAGAATATCAGAATAAAACTGATAGACTCAAAGCCCAGTCTTTCATGTCCCACACCCTTTGATAATGCTCTCCCCAACGCGCCCAGTTAGAACTACCGGTTCCCTCCTCTGGTCTTCAATCTCACCCTCAGAGTCCACTTACTTGCAGAGCTGGGGGCCAGCGCCCCGGGTGAGGACAGGGGTGGCAGGCACACTTCGCCCCTCAAAACTGGAGGCACTCCTGGGCAGCGAGCGTGTGGGGCTAGACAGAGACGAGCAGGCATAGGTGGGGGTCCAGGTTAGAGACTGTACGTAGCAGCAGGCCCTCCTACCAGCCCAGGCTCAGCTCCCACTCCTGGCTCCTGGGGAAGGAGGGGAGGGGCTCACCCTCACCTGGTGGGGCTGGCCACAGAGTTCCGCCGGCTCTTCAGATCCCCATAAAGATCTGACGGGGGTGGTTTCCACGGGGCTCGCCGCTCAGGGCTGCCCCCAGATACTGCCCGCAGCTGGTCCCAGGCCTTCGGTGGTGAAGGGCGCTCACCCAGAGGGAAGCAGCCACGGGGCTCCTCTGAGTGGAAGGGAGAAAGTGGGGGAGAATTCAATGGGAGGGTGCCTGAAGGGTTGTGGGCAAAGCAAAGGGCAGGGGCTAGGGAGGTAGGGAGAGGCAGAGGGCTAAGCAGGTAGGACAGGCTGAGGAAGAGCTAAGGGATGAGGCAGGAACTGGGGCTGATGGGGTGGGGTGGGGGGACTGAAGCAAAGAAAATGGGGGCTCCATTGGAGGATGGGTCATGGCTAAAGAGGAGCTGAAGAGGGAGGGTGGGGGCTAAGCATCAAAAAATGGGCAGATTTGGGGGACAGGGGTCCTCACCATTATCATGGCTGGCCCCAGACTCTGAGAGGGAGCTGCTCTCCGAGTGCAGGACTACGTCCTCTACAGATAAGAAGGGGAGACCCCGGCCTATCAATGCAAGGTCTGGGCGCCATCCCCTTACACCACTGGGCCGTCTCCTCCCCATCCCGTACACTTCCCAAGCATCCACCTTTACCTAAATCCAAGACCACCAGAGGCTTGGTCCCTCACTTTCCTGATGCCTATTCCCAATGGCCCCACCCTTGCCCAGGAGCCACTTTACACAATTCGTCTTACTCGTAGGGCCCCTTAAGTTCTACCTACCTCCCACTTTTCACTGGCTGCTCACCCACTCCACCTCTACCATGTCCCTTAGCCAATGCCCACCTTCCCGCTTTCATTGGTGGGGTGACAGGGCCTGGCTCACCTTGGCTGAGCTGAGCGAGGCGCGTGCCCAGGCAGACTCCCTGGGCAACGATAACTGCCCCAGTGGACAGCGGCAGGGGCTGGGGTGGCGGGATCCCCGGGAGACCCAGGTGGGCCCGGACGTCCCCGAGCTGCTCCTCCAGCTCATGCAGCCTCCGCAAAGCATCTGCCTGGACCTGGCGCCGACGTCGGCGCTGCTCGGCGCTGAGCTCCGGGGCCAAGGCCAGGCGGCGGGCAGCTGCCGCAATCTGCTGCTGCACTGACACTTCGCGCTCCAGGGCCTCGAGCGCCAGCTCCTGCGGGGCCTACCCGAGAGGGTGGGACAGGACCAAATGTTGGAAAGGGAAATGGCCAAGCACCAGGACCAAGTGGTGGCAGAGCCCAGCTACGCAGGAGGCGGGGCCTGCCCCTCCTGGGGGTGGCCTATTCTCCCTCTGGGGGCAGGGCCTGTGTGGATTAGGGCTGGGCCTCTTCATCTTCCTGGGGGTGAGAGGCCTATCCTGACAGGGACCAGCATCCTCTCTCAGACCTGGAACCCACCTCCCTCAAGCTCCTTCCCTCCTCACCTTAGCCTCTTCTTCCCCTGGCTGCAACCCGCTCTCGGCTTCCTCCGGGCTCCTGTTCCACCCCCATGTTGCTCTGCACGCCCATCTGCTCACCTTGGCAGGGCACAAGGAGTGGTGTGCTGGATTGGGGTGCGGTGGAGGGTAGGCGCGGGCTGCAGGCGGCCGCCGGCGGACCAACTGTGGCCGTTCACCAGGCTCCAGTGGGCACTCGGGGGGCAGCTGGCCAGTCAGCTCCTGGGCAGGGGCAGGGGTCAGAGACTACCAAGGGTTAGTTGGGGGGATGTGGCAAAGCAGTAACGACCCCCGAAGGTACAGAAGTCCTACTAGGAGCCCAGCCCTGCTCAGCACCCATGCCTGTTATTTCTCTTCCTCCTCCCAATTCTCCACCAGGTGGGTGTGCAGCAGAGACTCTCAGCCCCTCAGTGGCCCAAGTCCCCAGGGCAGTGGGCATGGGAGGCAGGGAGACCTGCTTTGGAATACAGAATTTCATAGTTTTTATAAAGGTGACACCATCTGTACACTGCATATTATATGACATTCCATTCAGGGCCTGGGCTGCATGCTCTGAACTGCATTATTATTTCTGGCAAACGGTGTGGACATTCACGGCGAGGGGGGTAAATCGAAACTGTAAATCACCCCATGTCAGTTCAGGTCAGGTTTCACTGCCAAGTTTTGGAAATAACTTGTTTTGTTTTGTTTCTGAGGTTTTTTGGATTTCAAACTGTTGATAGGGGATGGTGGCAAAATATCACCATATTTCATTGATTCTCAGGCATGCAAGCTGAGCTTTGGGGAATCTATACCTCGGACAAGTGGCTCAGCCACCACCACCGCAGTCTGCCTACCTCATGCCTGCTCCTCACCCCCCACCGACACCCTTAGGGTACGGCCCTCACCGCCTCCTGGAGACACACTTTTCGTAGCTCCTGAAGTTTCAGGCTCAGGGCCTCCTGCAGGGTCCGCTGACGGTCGAGCAGCCCCCGCAGACGCTCTGACTTCACCTGGGGGGCAGCCTCTCCAAACAGGGCAGCTGGACACAGAGGGAGCAAAGATCGGGGAGCAATCAGGGCAGCCTGTGGCAGCTGTGGGGCCAGGGACCAACCGTTCCCCAGTGGGCAGGTGGTGACTCAGAGCAGGGGAGGAGGCAGCAGGAGGGGGAACCAGATACTAACCTGAGGCACTGAAGGTGGGAGAGCTGATCAGCTGACCTTTGACTTCCATCCTGGTGTTGTCAAGAGGCTGTGGCTGATGGCTGGACAAGGCCTAGCAGTGATGCACGGGAGCCACTGAGGAAGCACATCCGGTGTGCACTGCCAACTTCCCCCTCTACCCAGGTTCCCACACCCCAGCTGGGAATAAGGGGTACCCTGACCCCGCCCAACTGCTTGGCCTGCCCTCTCAGAATCTGTGTCAATGTCAAGGCCCTGGTACCTTGGTTCCCTTCCCATTGAGTGGGAGCACAGCAAGTGGGGAGCTGGGCGGACTTACAATGCCTCCTCAGAGGCCCATGGGCCACAGTCAGGAGTCTTGCCTGGGAAGGGAGAATTAATGGTACAGATTCAACCAACTACAAGAACAGTAGGCATTTATTCAGCACCTGGGTGCCTGGAACAGTTACGTTCTATGCCACATTTAATCTTCACAACCACCCTGTGATGGCCGTTCCGTGATTATTATTACCCCCATTTTAGAGATGAGGAGAGTAAGACACAAAGAGATGAAATAACCTGCCCTTGGCTACAGATGCAGCCAGGCCCACCCCTCCGGTCCAACACTCCCCCTTACTAGAGGTGCTGAACCCCACCAATCCCTCATAAGCTCCCAGCCCATCAGGCCTCCAGGCCTTTGTGCAGGCTGCCGCTGCTGTCCGGAGTGCACTTTTCACCTCTCGCCACTCCAGCCCCTGGTTCTCTCTTACATTCTGGGGCTTCAGTGTCACTTCCAGAGGTGGGCCCCCACATTTTGTCCCCTCACAACTGCTGTCAAACAAGACGGTGCCTCCCTTGTATATTTAGGAGGACAGAAAATGTATCAGTATCTCTGGCACTCAGAACACTTCTGTGCACACATCAAGTGCTCAGTGAAAGTCTGCTGGGTGAATAAAAGAATGACTGTGGTCTGTGGGTCGCTACTTGTCCCAACTCTATCCCGCGGCCCTGGTGCGGCAGGGAGAGCATTCACTTGGCCTCAGGACCCCTCCAGCCCCTCCCCACACACCAGCCTGTCCTGCACCCGGCACAGGGAAGTCAGCCTGCTGGGACTGGGAGTGGCAGAGCCCACAGCTGCAGATAACAAGCTGACTGCCTCCTGCCTCCTCCTCTGCCCCCAGACACCCTGGCTGACCATGGAGCCGGCCTTGGCTGGCTGCCAGCCCTGCCCTCATCCCTTCCTCTGGAGTTTGCTCCCTCTGTCCCACAGCCTGCTCAGTCCCCAGCTGGGCAGCCAGGTGACATCACCTCCCACCACCTGGCCTGACCTCGGTGGCAGGCGATTGGGAGGACCTCATGAGGCCAGAGAGGTCCCATCCCCACCTGCCCCGCACTTTGTCGTGACATGGTGGCCAGGTGTGAAGACCCAGGCAGCCACGGAGGGATGGGTTCAAGCCCCTTCCCCATCTATGCATTGGGGGTGTGGCCAAGCTGCTAATAGGGTGCCACCAGCTTATCAGCAGTCCTCCCACCCACCCCACGGGGTCTGTGCCCCTCCCACAAAGCAGGGGTTCCTTGTCCTCAACAGCAGGGGCGGGGTCAGTCCCTAAAGCCTTTTTGCACATCCAGGCAGCAGCATGTGCTCTGCAGAGGTGCTCACATGCCCTCACCACCCCCCTCCAAGGTCTGACATTGGCGGCATGGCAGGCTTTCCTTGAGGTCCCAGCTTAGCCTCCTCTGCCCCTCAGCTCCTGCGGTTCCTTCTTCCCCAGCCCCCATTTGGGTTTGAGGAACTCTAAACCTTCCTCCACCTCAACAGGAACCTCAACTCCTCCCCAGTGGGCCCGTTCACCAGGATTGGTCCCACATCCCATACTGGGATGCCTCGAGCCTTCCTTCCCTGGGAGCTCGTGGCATCCTGGAAGTCCGCATGGGGTACAGGCAGGAACACCGACTCCACCCTGTCAGCCTGACCTCGGGGACATAGCTAGGGCCTGAGTCATGGGGTCATCGGGCAGGGTCCACGCTCCACACCCCCAACACGCTCACACCTGCTCCCAAGCCTCTGCCTCTGCTCACCTACCCTCTGCATATTGGCCTGGGGTCCTGGGACTGCCTGGTTCCCACCCAAAGATGGTGAGAAGGGGGAATCCCAGCAGTCCCCTCCCCAACACACCCCCACACCAGCCCCTGGGTCTCCCCACTGGTGACCCTGTGTCCCTGTCCCGTCCCAGGATGGGCTGCAGCAAGATAGCTGCAGAGGGCACCCCCCACACCCAGAGGCGGGCCCAGCAGGTTTTTCAGGTCTGCCCTTCTGACACCACAGCCGAGAAAGAAATTCCTGGCTGTAATGACTATTTACAAGCAAGACACCTCACCTGGGTGGCACCCCAACACCTCAGTGGGACCCCCATTTCCACATCCCGCCACCTTCGGAGCAAATACAAACTCCCAATGTCTGGGACTGTTCCCCACACCGCCCCAGAGGTCCTCCCCTGCTGCCCTCACTCTAGGGGAACAGTGTGGAGGACCAGGCAGGTGCTGGGAAGTAGTTTCTCAACAGCCCAGTCTGGGCTTTCCTAGAGGGCTAGGCCCCAGGTTGAAGGAGGGCAGAGGCTACCCCTGCAGGGGAGGAAGGGGGAGAGGAAGTAGCGGGGAGTAGAGAAGGGGGACGCTGGCTTCTCTTCTCCCCCATCCCTTCCCCTCGTCCACTTCCGGCAAGGAATTAGCTTCATGCCAGGAAAGGAAATTGGACATTTTAGGCTTCGCCCCTCTAGCCAGGCCCTCCTTCCTCGCTGTGCCTCTCACATAGACCTGGCTCTCTCCCGCAGGGAACTTCAGCACACCCTGTGCCCTTCTCCCCCCACCCCTCGCCCCTGGGCCCATTGTTCCCAGGTGCTCACCAATGCCAGAGCAGAGAGGTGCTGTGGAGTGGCCTCAGGTACCTCAAAAAAAATAGTTGTATCGACCAGGCCCTGCTCCGGCTGGTAGTGGCAATAAGTGGGTGAGCGCAGTGGCGGATGCCTAGGCCGCCTCCCACTAGGCAATGGCCCAGCCTACCTGGCCAGGGACTGGGCCGGCCCATACCTTTTAACCCTTGCCTGCCTGACACCAGGGCTCTGGCCACCCTTAGGAGCTGTCTTGGAGCCAAGTCCCCTCAGGGTGTCCAGCACGGCCAAGAAGAGAGCCTGGACCTCCCCCCTCACCCCATACACCTAACAGAGGACTGAGGAAGAAGGGCTAAAGGTCGTGGGAGTGGCGACTGCCTCTGGTGCTGTCCAAGTACCCAGATCAGACCCTGCCCACCCTAGGGTACTACCTGGGAGCCAAGGGATGGAGGGCTGGGGAGTTGTAAGCACAGGAGAGGACTTGGGGTACCTCGGGTATGCGTCTCTTGGCAGCACTCCACGTTCCTGACACCCCTACTCTTTCCTCCCAGGGCAAGGCAGGGGTGGGAGAAGGTCTTAGGGCAATTCCCACCCTCACTGGGGTAATAGTTTCCCAAGTTGGGACAGACAAGGTCCACTTTTCTAAGGAGAGACCATGTCTCAAGACCCTACCACCTTCTGCAGCTTCAGAAGAAATCATCCTAGCAAATGGAAGAAACACACTGGTGGTTTAACCCCTCCGGACCCCTACAAACCTGGGACGATGGCACAGACCCAGCTCCTCATAGCCAGCTTGGAGAGATGAAATCTGGGGCTCGCAGAAGTGAAGAGGCCCGATTCTGATCACAGAGTCATGAGAGCAGGTAGAATCAGAACTCAGGGGGCTGGGTCCTGGGTTGCAAGTTGACAGAGGCAACTCCTGCACGGGAGGAGGAGTGGGAAACGGGGCTCATGCTTCTTCACATCCAGGCTGGGTCTCCCCAGTTCCTCCCCCGACCTCCTGGGGCATTTCTGGTCAGGAGTCAAGGAAATGGAGGGCTCTGAGTCTCTGCGATGTACTGTTTCCCCCACACCACCACCTGGGCTTTGGGCCTGCCCCGGCACACACCACACATCTTGAGCTCCATTTGGGACCATCTGCTCTGTGACCTCAGGGCCCAAGCCCAACCCGGGCCCCGACAGCAGTCCATGCCAAGATGTGATAGAGCAGAGTGAGGAAAGCTCCCTCTCCAATTGGCATGTGGGCCAAGCCTGGAGAGGAACTTGCTCTGTATCAGCAATGCCCAGTGTACCCCAGTGTACGTGTTACTGAGGCTTCCCGCCACCCTGCCCACCTTTCTTCCTGGGTGTGAGATTTCCGGCACAGGACCCAAAGGCCCCTTTCATCAACCCCCTTCTCCCTCCCTTCACTGCCTGGGGCTGATGGAGGCAGCAGCCACAAGGTGGGCAGCTGGGTGTTGGTGGGGAGTGTCCTCTCAGCCATGGCCTCTCCCACCTCTTGTGGGACACCAAGGAGGCTGGGAAGGGGGATGTTTATAAAATCAGAGCTGAATTCCCTGGTGGTCCAGTGGTTAGAACTCTGCACTTCCACTGCAGGGGGCACGGGTTCGATCCCTGGTCGGGGGACTAAGATCCTGCAAGCCGTGTGGCACGGCCAAAAAAAAACATCAGAGCCGAGAGGGATAAGTGTTATCTGGCCAGCAATGCAGATTGAGTCTCAAGGCTTAGATTTCTGCATTTGGAAACGGTGCTAACAGAGCCAATGGAGGCCAAAGTAACTTTGGAAGACATTTCAAAGTGCAAGAAAACTCATACCACATCATTAACAACTGTTAATAACTACAATAATAAACTCAGGCAGAGGTGGGCTGGGGTGAGAGTAAGGAGGGAAGAGCAGGTAACTGGGTCTCTTGGGCCAGGCAAGGCGGAGTCACCCACACACATCATTGCCCTGGTCCACAGCTTTTAATAGTCTGGAAGACAACCACCTATAAGCCCCACCCCAGCGGGGACCTGAGCCTCCTGTGGCCTCCCATAGGGCTAGCAAGTGGTGGGTCTGAGATTCAACCCAGCTCTGCCACTTCCCGGCTGTGTGACTGCTTGAACAAGTCACTCAACTTCTCTGTGCCTCAATGTCTTCATCTGTAAAATAGGGGTGCTGACAGCAGTATAAAACTCACAGGGGGGTTGGGAGCATGACAGGAGCTAAGACATTCAAAGATTGCTTAGGACAGTGCCTGGCCCACGTTAAGTGCTCAATATGTATATGTAATATGTCATACATAATTACAAGTATTCCTCCCAGTCCGAACTCAGGAATCAAACACACACACACACACACACACACACACACACACACTTTGAGACACAGCTGGTATCCCTCAGCCTCGAAACCCTCCCCACTTGCCGCCCAGATATAGAACCCTCCTTACTTGCCAAACCAGACATATTTGAAACAGAGCTGTTTTCCCTCATTATCCAACCTCTCCCTCCTCAACATCAAAAATGCAGGAACCAAATATATTCAGAAAAATTGTCTGAACTCTCACTATCCAAATACAGGAACTGAATGGATTTGGATACATTTTTGAGATAGGACTGGTATCCCTCACTCTCTGAGCTTTCCTTACTCACCAGGCAAAATAGAGGAACCAAATACATTTATAAAATGCGGTACCCTTACTATCCCAACTCTTGCCACTGGAGCACAGGAAAATGAATAGATTTGAATACATTTCTGAGTTAGAGCCATTACCCCTCGTTATCTGAATTCTCCCTACATTTCTCACTCTGCAAAATGCAAAAACAAAATAACTTCAGATAATATCTTTCACTGTCTGAACTATCCAAACTCTCCCTCTCAGAACTTGTGTACCAAATATACTGGGACAGTGAGGGATGTGTGTGCTGTTATTAATAGGTTTGGATACCTGTTTTGGATAAATGAAACAGGTCTGATATTTCATTATTCAAACTCTCACTATTCTCTATGAGAAATACGGTAATAAAACATAATTTAATGACATGTTACTTCCTCACTATTCAAATTTTCCCTGTCTGTCCTCAAAATCAAGGTGATTCAGACAGTAAGAGAACTTCTTATTTTTCTTGTTGTTGTTATTGTCACTACTGGATGAGCCTGATTCTAACAGAGGCCCCCCAATACACACAGACCTGCCCACAGAGGTAGGATGGACTCAGCATCAAGATTTGTACTGCTTACTGCTGACAGGAGGAGGATAAACTCCTGCCCCCATCCTACCCCTACCAAGCCCTGAAGCCTCTGGCCTAGGATGGACTTTTTTCCAGGCCAGGAAAGCAGGGATCACTGCACCTGGGATCAAGACCAGGAGACGGGGGTAACGTGATCTAGAAGACTCACACATACCCCTGAGTCCCCCACCCCTACATGGGGCAGCCCCCAACCTAGCAAGGCTGGAAACATGACCCAGACCTCAAAGACTCCCAGAGAGTCATTGAATAATTTAGGGTGTTCTTTCACACGTGGAGAGAATAGGGGGCACAGGAAGAGTTCCATGCCCTCCTGGGGCAGGGAGAGAAATGCAAGCTCTGTGTGAGATCACTGGGTGGGGGAAATCACATGTGAAAACTCCCTCAGCCTCACGGGGCCCACAAGGCTGCTTGCTCTTGCTCATGCTAAGAGAAGCATTTGGGATGAATTTCAGAGATAACAGGTACAGTGGAACCTCCAAGTTCACGGCCAGGGTATAATGGAACCCCTGTCCTTCTGGGCTCAGAGGAGACGGAAAGTGGGTGTTACGAAGGAGGGAGATCTGAACAGCGTGGAGGGGCATGGGAAGGGGCAAAACAGGGGCCTGGGGTTGGGGCAGAATGAAGACTCAGGACAGGAAGGGGTATAAGGGACAAAACAGAATCAGAGTTGTAGGATGGAGGTCAAAAGATAAGACAGAGAAGAATCCAGGACACTGGCCAGGGGCTAGGATGGACAAAGGCCAGAGAAAAAGTAGGGGACAGTAGGGGACAAAAGAGGAGGGCAGGGATCAGGATCAGTATAAAACGGTAGTCAGAAGACATGATGGGGGACAGGCCAAGACAGCGGTTCAAGGAAGAGGATAGGGAAAAGAGCAGGTTCAAGGTGGAGGTAAGGAACAGGAAAAGACCACGACAGAATGAGGATAGGAACGAGGACAGTGATGGGCCAAGAGAAGACAAGGGAAAACAGCATAGGTTTGGGGGCAGGGACATGGCAGGAGGCAAGAGGGACAGTCTAAAGGTGGTGGGCCAGGATGGAGTTCAGGAGACAGGAGGGGGACCCGGGGGATCGTACTGGGTGGGGAGAAAGTACATAAGTCAGAGGTCAGGAATTGGGACAGACCTGGATCAGACTGGGGTTAGGGGTACAGGACATGACTGGAAGGAGTTCAGGGACTGGACAAGAGAATAGGCAGGTCAAGCATCAGGACAGAAACTGGGGAGATCAAGACAAGGCACGATGAGCTTCAGAGATGGAACAGGGTCAGGCAAGGATCTGGGGTCAGGTCAAGGATGCTGAGAACATAACTGGATGGGGTTTGGGGTCAGGACTGGATTTAGAGGTACAAAACAGGGGTTGAGGATCACACCAGGCCAAAATATGGTTAGGTCAGGGGTCAGACCAGAGCTCCTGCGGCCAAGACTGGACGGGGTTCGAGGTTAAAAAAAGATGTAGCCAGGTAAGGCAGGGGTCGAGGGGGAGACCACGGGGTCAGAGGTCGGGGGTGCACGAGCAGGTACATCGCAGGTCAGCGTTTCCGGGCCTTCACCCCGCCGTCTCCTCCCTTCCAACCCCAAGCGGGCGTTACTCACCGAGGGTCCTCGCCCCGCGGCGTAGGCGGGGTCGGTGCAGGCCTGAAATAGTGGTGGGAGCGCCCCTCCCTCGCTGCCCCCAGCTCGTTCCCGGGCTCGTGCCTACTACCCTTCCGCGCCCTGCCTGTGGGCCGCGTTCGGCCGTGCGACTATTAACCCTGGGGGCCAGACGGGGGGCGCGGGGAGAGTGGGAGGGTAGCAGCCGCTCGGCCGAGGGCAGTGGACCCCGGCCCCCCACCTTCAACTCAGGTCTGTCCGCTCCCAGCGGCACCGCCACCTCCGCCGCTGAGCGCGAGCCTGGAGGGGCGGGGTTGGGGGGGGGGGAGAGACAGGGGGCGGGGCGCGAGACCACAGCAGCGGCGGAGACCAAGTGCGCAGGCGCCAGTTCGGGTCTTCTTTTTCTGTTTTTTTTTTTTTTCCTTTTCTTTTTTTTTTTCCCTGCCCTGGGAGCGCCAAGAGCGAACCAGTTCGGAGCGCTTGCGCACACGCTTTCGCGAGGGCCGTGGAGCTGTCCCCTACCGAGGCCACGCCCCCTCAGTGATCAGACTAGCGCCCCTCACCCCAATTCACCCCGCAATGAGCACCCAAGAATTACCCACAGACTGCCTTCTATCAGCCACCACCACACTTCTAAATTCCCCCAACTACCCTCCGGTGCCCCAAATGCTCTCCAAACCACACTCCATCATCTCCCAAATTGTATCCCCAAACTATTGTCCATTGATCCCAAAGCAGTACCCCCAATCTGCCTTCCTTGGACACCCAAGCTGAACAAATAAGCTACCCTCCAATACCCCCAAGTTGTTCCCCCAAACCATCTACAATCAGCCCTGAAACTGTTAACCTCCGAAGATCACTTCCAAATCACCCTCCCTCTACTCCCAATATGCACCCAAAACACCCTCCAT